GAATGAAGATGCATTCCTCAAATAACCAGCTCTCAAAGCTACTATTTCAGGTAAGAAAAGTCATTTATTACAGTTTCAAAATTTTAATCTACATAAGCTTTTTTTTTTTTTTTGAGACAGAGTCTTGCTTTGTTGTCCTTGGTAGAGTTCTGTAGAGTCTTGAACTCAAGCAGTTCTCTAGCCTCAGCCTCCCAAGTAGCTAGGACTCTAGGTGCCCGCCACAACACCCAGCTATTTTTAGAGATGGTGTCTTGCTCTTGCTCAGGCTGGTCTTGAACCTGTGAGTTCAGGCAATCCACCCACCTTGGCCTCCCAGAGTACTTGGATTACAGGCTTGAGCCACTGTACCTGGCCCCCAGAAGCAAGTTTATAAATGAAAGAATTGGGCTGAGCACCTGTTACTCAGTGGTTAGGGAGCCGGCCACATACACTGGGGCTTGCAGGTTTGAATCTGGCCCAGGCATGCTAAACAACAATAACAACTTTAACTAAAAAACAGCTGGGTGCTGTGGCGGGCACCTGTAGTCCCAGCTACTTGGGAGGCTGAGGCAAGAGAATCACTTAAGCCCAAGAGTTTGATGTTGTAGTAAACTATGACGCCACAGGGCGACATAGTATGACTCTGTCTCAAAAAAAAAAAAACACCCCCAAAAACCACAAAAAAACCACGTGGTTGTTATCTCCATGTTGAGCAAAGAAGCCAGTTACAAAGAATTTATTTTATATAAAGTTAAAAAAAAAAAAAAAAAGGAATTGTCAGCTGGGCGTCATGGCCTATAATTCTAGCACTATGGGAGGCCAAGGCAGGTAAACTGCCTGAGCTTCAGAGTCTGAGACCAGCCCAAACAAGAGTGAGATGCCGTCTCTACTAAAAATAGAAAACTAGCTGGGCATTGTGGTGGGCACCTGTAGTCCCAGCTACAGTCCCTTGGGAAACTGAGGCAAAAGGATCACTTGGGCTCATGTCTGAAGTTGCTGTGAGCTATAGACACACAAGGCACTCTACCCAGAGTGAAAGAATGAGACTCTATCTCAAAAAAAAAAAAAAATTGCTCATAGAAAAGCTACGTCTTTCAAGTTCCCTTACCCTACAGACAGTGCAGGTATATATTAAGGCAGCTTTGGCAGCAGCCTTTTGGTCATGTCCTTGTTTCTTCTTTTGTCCAGCTTGCTTTTTGGCATTTTTCTGCTGAGACTGGATCTTCTGCTGTCCGCGAGCCATATCTAAAAACAGAAGGTGAGAAGTTTATAGAGTGATTTACTCTAACACAGAGTAATCAAAGCATAACAGATTTCTCAGAGTTAAAGCCTTAAGTTTTATAGATATATCTGGCAATTCAAAATATATGGATTTTCAAATTTTCACATACAATGCTACTAAAGTATCTATTGGTACAGACACTGTGGAAAACTGGTTGGTAGTTGTCTACTCTATGATCTAGCAATTCCACTCAGGGTATATATCCAACAGAACTATATTTATATAGACCAAAACACGTATAAGAATGTTCAGAGTACCTGTTCCAAAACTATGAACAGTGTAAACCCTCATTAATAGTAAAATGGGTATACAGCTTGCATACATATCTTTACAACATTCATACAATGAAACACACAGCATTCAAAAAAACCCCATTACTACAAATAAAAACTTCGTCATTGTGGGGGTGCCCCTAGTTCAGTGGTTAAGGTACCAGCCACATGCACTGGGGCTGCTGGGTTTCAACCCAGACTGGGCCTGCTAAACAACAACAACAACAACAACAACAACAAAAATAGCTAGGCATTGGTGGTGGGCGCCTGTAGGAGGCTGAGGGAAGAGAATCGCTTGAGCCCAAGAGTTTGAGGTTGCTGTGAGCTATGACCCTACAGTACTCTACAGAGGGCAACAAAGTGTGACTCTGTCTCAATAAAAAAAACAAAAAACAAAAAAACTTGGTTCTAGCTCCATGTAGAGGAAAGAAGCCAGTTACAAAGAATTTATATTATATAAAGTTCAAAAAAGATTAGCTTTCTTCACCAAGCTAATCTATTGTAAAAGAGATCACCTTGGGGTTTATGGCGGTAATGACTAGGGAGAAAGCATGAAGGGGACTTATCCAGTGCTGAAATTGTTCTATATCTTAAACCAGTTAATGGTTACAAAGGTGTTTTTAATTATTAAAATTCATGTGCTCTACATCTAAGATTTGTGCATTTAATTGTATGTAATCTTCAACTTTACCAAAAAGGTTCAGTTCCTTCCATTATTTGATTACTTTGCAAATGTACTTTCCCCTCCCAGTCACTGTTGTTAATTGAAATTTTTACAACTTTAAGAAAAATAAGAGCCTACCAGCTAATACGTCTAAAGGAGACCACAGGAACCAATTGCTTTTTGGCATTTTTTGGAACTGTTTTTTTAAAACTTAAGATTTCATAAAACTGTTATTCTAAATTTTTTTTAAAAGTTGGTCTTTCCTGGATTGTGACATGCACTATAAAATTAGATTAAATTAGTTCCCAGTTGAGAGAATGAATCTGGTAAGAGGGTTCTTTTATAAAGTTATAAGATATCACTTTTTTTACCGATGGTCTGAAGTAAACCTAAATGGGTTAAAAATAATCAAGCCACTGAAAAAACAAACTTTTTCATTAAAATTAAAGGCTTCTATTACTCCATACAAGTTAAATCCATTCATAAAGGGTCTATAAGAAGTCCCAAATGCTTTTTAAATATATCAAAATTGGAACCTAAGTAGAATTCCTAGGTATAGTTTGACCAGCGCTGTAATTAAAAGTTCAAATCACTGTAGGACACAGAGACACAATGCAGCTACATCAACTTCACCAGTAAAAAGTGATGGCTTTTTCTGCCGGAACACTAATTAGTAAGCAGATCTGATGTCCAAGTATTTCATAGAAATGACAAAGTTCCTCCTACTCCCGTCAAAAGGAAAACTAGAAAAATAAATATACTGATTGGAAAAGTTAACACTAGTATTGAACACTGAACTGAAAATCATATAAAATATAGAAAAGGATTGATGCTTCTCTAGGAAGTTGAATATTTTACTAATTACAAAAAATGTCTACTATGGTAGCCTAAGAACCCCATTCCTATCAAATAATGGTAAATATCACCAGCTGTGTTACCCCTTAAAGACAAGCTTTTCTTCCATCTTTGTCTTTTTAAGACCAAATCCTTACTAATTCTGAGACAAATGTAATCATTTTTTAAAGTATATTCAGGTCCATATGCTATGGCAAGCTTACTTTCTATTCCCATGGAAACAAGTTTGGATATGTCTGTATTATTTGAATGACAGTAATCAGGTCTTCAATCTTTATGTGTACTAATGTTTCATAACATTCTTAATGTCTCAGTGTCAGGACTTTATATTAGACTATTTCAGTCCTCTTTGTCATCTTAACTCTTCCACACAAAATATATATATGCTGGTATACTTAATTTGTGGGTAACCTCTTAATTGTTTCACGTTGAAAAGGCTTACAAAATGGCAGGCCACTAATTTCAGAATTTTGTTATCTAGAAGTTATTAGTTATTTTGATATTTTCATGCAGTGACCTATAAAAGCAATGTCATTAAATATGCTACATTATTTTTAATTTTTGCATTTAGGACTTTCCCTAAAATATAACATTACACAATAGATTTAACCCATTTTTATCTGACACATAACAGCAACAAAAAAGCCAGAAGAGCCTTAAAAAATAAAAGGCAGTAGTGGCTTATTCTTAAAACAGAAAACTTAACACCAGATAAAGGAAACTGATTCACACAAGCTAAATACGTGGAGTAGGCCCCTAACTTCTGACAACACAACTGCATTGATTTCCTTTCTGAAAGCAGAAATGCAAAAGAACAAACCACCTGCTTTTGGACAGCTCAAGTTAAGACTTGCTCTCAAGCCAATAGAATTTTCTACAAAGTCTTAAGCATAACTGCTTCTTGACTAAATGCAACAAACTCAAGGTCAAGAAGTCATTTACAAACATGTACATGCTGGTTTTCGATCTAACTCCTATTAAGTGTGGTTTTCCCAGAGAAAAGCAAAGAGGGAAGTAGAAGGAGCGAGTTCTAAAATGAGGTGCTCTGGCAGGAGACAAGCACTGCCCCACAGAGCCTTTTAAAACCAACACAAATGAGTAAGTAGAAAAGGATTTGGGATTCAGGAAGTAGGCTCACTCTCCATAACCATCGGAAAGGAAGAGGCCCAGGCCGTGCTTAACCTCCTGACCCCCGCTTTTAACTACATGGTTTTGGGGAGCCGAGCATAAGCAAGCATCAAGAGGAAGGTCTACTTCTAGCACTTCACTGACCCCAGTAGCAGCCCGGCGCACTTTCCTTCCCCAGCCAGCCTCTCCCGCCTCAGGGAGCCCCCTCTTCCACGATGCCACCAAAAGCCATACAGCCCCCCGTGACTCGCCAGCCTTCATGGACCCTGGCCCGAAACGCGCCTCCTGGAGGCCCTGTCTGCCAGAAACTCTGCCCCCATGGACACGGCGAGCCCCAGCCTCAAGCAACCGACCAGCTGCTGTCGCCAGGGGGTAAGGTTACTGCTCCGCACCGGCGACTGGCCAGCGACCCGGCCACCTGCAGGGCCTGGCAGGCGCCCGAGCTTCTCCTCCTTCCTGCGGCCCGCGCGGGGCTGGGCCCTGCCGCCCCCACAGAGGCCAGCGGCCCCCGGTGACCCCTGCGGCCGCCACTGCCACCCACCCGGTTCCGCGGCGCTCTGAGGCGTCAGCGGCGTCCCAGCTGCCGCTCACCTGGGCTGGGACAGTCTTGCGTCGGAGAGACAGCGCAGCGCTAGAGGGCCGGGGGAGGTCGCTTGAGGGAGAGGAAAGGGGAGCGCGCCCAGCACCGCTTCAGCCTCTTCTGCCCGCCAACGAGGGGAAAGAGGAGAGCCCGGAGCACAACAGCCCGCGCCTCACACGCCCGCCGCAGCCGCGCGCCCGCCGCCGCCTCAGCCTTAGGGGAGGCCACTACGCCTCGTGCCCGCGCACGCTGCGCCGCTTTCCCAGGCGCCCCAGGACCGCCTGCTCCTCGCAGCCCCGCCCACCCGCCTTCCTGCGGTGGCCTCCTCCCCACGCCCCAACACGCTTGCACGCCTGCGCCTCTTCCGGTCGCGCGGGCCAATGGTAGCGCGCCCCTATTACATAAGCGTGAGGGGGCGGGCCCTGGATGATGCGAGCTGCAGGGGGCACCGCCCTCGGTCCCTGGACGCCCCTCCCCTCCACCGCGCTATCGCTCCGGGGTGGCTTCTTCGCTCTGCTCTGACGGCCGCGTGGTCTCGGTCATGGTGGGTGTCCCGCCGCAGCGTATCTCCCGGGTCGCTTGCTTACTTGTTCGCTTACTCACTCGGGCGTCTGTCCGGTTTCTGGCGCAGGGCCCCGTGTCACACGTCTCGTCCGGCTGGCCCGTCTCGGCGGCGCCCTTCTGTGCACTGACTGGGAGGCACCGGGTCTGGAGAGGGTCCTGGGACCGTAGCGTGGGCCACTGAACCCTGAGCTCCGCCGCTCCCGCCCCAGTAAGGCCCCAGGCGGGTGGCCCTAACACGGACTTGCAGCCTTTGTTCTCTCACTGGCCCCCTTTACCTCACTCCCGCTGAGGCTCTAGTTATTTTACATCTTGTGGTTTTTAGTGAGCAACATTGAAGCCTGACAGCCCCGTTAAAAATTACTGGCCAGGCATCCCTGACCGGCTTAGGCTGACTACTAACAATATATGTATGGCACTGAATTGCTCCTATTTGGGAGAATGGGTAATGTGAAAAGAGCAGTGACAGTGTAACGATTATTACATACGGTGATTATCTGGAAATGGCCTTTCAGACATCGGGTTTATTCTGTATCTGTACCCCCTCCCACACATCGTTTTCTAATAGATTTATTGGTGACAAATGAAAAAGGAAGCCTTTGCATTGGATGTTCTCACTTTGCCCATAGTCTCCGCTCTCTTAACTGCCTGTCAGGGCCCAGGAATTGTTAGTTGAATATTAATATATCTCAAATTATGTACTGTGGGATATAGATGACACAATTATTTAAACTAGCCAAGAAGAGGTGAGCTGCTTATTGCATTTGACATTTGAGCGGGATGAAATATGAAATGAAAGTTGGCGTGTAGTGATCTCACTGGCTATGTAGTCCTCTTCATCCTCATTTCAGTTCTCCCCGCCTTCACTTATGCTCTGGACAAGATTACATGTGTAGGTTTTATTCATCTCTCTCCTGTAGATTATAGTCATTTTTTTCATCACTGCGTATCCGGTGACTAGCAATATGTTAAACACAGAAGGCGTTGAATAAGTGGATATTGACCTTATGAAATGAGTGCTAAAGACATCATAAAGCTATAGCTTAATCACCAGTAGTCACCAAAATCATAATAGTTGTGTAAATGTGACTGAGAGAGGAATGAGGACTTGGAGACCCTAGAGATAGGAAATCCAAAGAGTTGTCTGGGTTTATCTAGCCATGAATGATAGTGAGTAGAGAAAGGGACAATGAAATCTGGCTGGCAAAGATAAGTCTTTTTAACTAGGGAGGTGGCTCCTGTTGTAGGGTAGGTTAACATGTCACTCTTTAGCATGACCTAGATGAAATAAATGTCCATTAAAGCCAATTTTTTTTAAGTTTTGAGTCATACTCGCTTTGAAAATTTGGTAAGAAGCTATGACCTTTGCCCCAAGGAAGTTCATATACATACAAATTTATTTTCATGGGTAGAGTTTCTTCAGTACCATTGAAATTTGGACTGAATGCTTCTTTGTTATGGAGATGTATTAGTGTTCTGGGGATTGAAGGATGTTCAGCAACATCCCTGTCTTCTACCTGCTTGATGATTATAGCACCCCATCTCCTGCTGTGACAACTAAAAATGTCTCCAGACTTTGCTATATGTTCTCTGGGGGTCAAAATCTCCCTTGATTGAAAACCACTGCCTAGATGATATGGCATAATGCTAACTGTATATAACGGTGAGGGCATTTAAAGCATAAAGAAAAATATGAAAAAAAGAAATAGATCAAATTCAACAGCTGTGAAGTGACAAACAGTAAATGAAAGGTGGATGAATTATCATTACTACCAGCTGGTGTCCTACTTATATTATAAAAATGTAACAGCAAATGGGTCATGAACTCCTTAGAAGAATTACCACAGACATTTCTGTTTGTAATTGTGAATGCTGCAGTGAGTCCCTCTTCTGTTTTTCCTCTTTTGCCTTTAGACAATTACTAAAGGTTAATATGTTGTAAGCATGTGCCTATTTTCTATCCAAAATCACAGTGAGATTAGAATACTTCCCTAAAGTTCTGAAACGCTTATTTATCTATACGTATTCATGTAGGATACTCAGGGATGAAAGAAATTGTGATTAATCAACATTATTTCCTGAATAAACATAGATTATTCTGACAAATTTATAGTGACAAATAATAGCAACAACAATAATAAACTCAAAACAAATGTTTTCTTTTCTGGTGCTTTTTCTTCCACTCAACTTCTACTTGTTGAGATTTCTCAGTGCTATAACCTGGATCCTCTTGTCTTCTTTATACCCTTTCCTCAAGGAAATCGCACTGTTGTGGCTTTAAATAACAAATGCAGATGACCAGCACAATTCTAGTTCAGACTTCTCTTCTGAGCTCCGAATAGCTATACTCAAATTCTTATTTTCCATCTCCACTTCAGTGTGTTATAGACATTTCATTCTTAATTTCATATTGTATTGATTTGGAGAAGCCATTGATGATAAGTCACCTATATGTCTTTTAGGTAGACAGAATTCCCGGCTCTCCTAGGGAAAAAGAACAAAATGGGTACTCTGCCTTGGGGCTGCCTGGAGCAATTGCCCCACCTGAGAAGAAGGACAAGAGGGAGGAGGTTTCAGTGCTCCCTCCACCTTAATCCTATCCAGAGCAACTAACTGCCAACCTAGGGGAAGGAGGAACTCCTTGGGGCCAGGCAGCCATGGCACAATAGGATTTGGAAAGAGACTTAGAGCTAATTAACTTGTCTTAACTGTCTATCAAAGTGGTTTTGAACCATGAAAAGGGCCCCACCCAGACAGTACATGGATAAAATAGAACCACCCAGAAAGAACAGTATAAAACCAACCATTAGGCCAGGGGTGGTGGCTCACGCCTGTAATCTCTAGCACTCTGGGAGGCTGAGGTGGGTGGATTGCCTGAGCTCACAGTTTCCAGACCAGCCTGAGCCAGAGCGAGACCTCATCTCTAAAAATAGCCAGGTATTATGATGGGTGCCTGTAGTCCCAGCTACTTGGGAGGCTGAGGCAAGACAATTGCTTGAGCCCAAGAATTTGAGGTTGTTGTGAGCTGTGACACCACTGTACTCTACCAAGGGTGACAAAGTAAAACTCTCTAAAAGAAAAAAAAAAAAAACCATTACTGCTAACAGTGGGGCCAGGTTCATTGTCTGTGGTTTCACACTTGCCTTGCTTTGGTGGGTCTGGGCATTCTTCAGCACACCAAGAAAGGAAAACATAGACAATGGCCTGAACCCCAGCATATTCATTAAGATTTAAAACAAATACGGCCAATTGAATTATGACATAATGCTGAGGTTTTTTTTATTCTAAGATAGACCTTGATTTTAGAGGTTAAAATGGATTTAAAAAATAATGTTACTTTTTAGATGAGCATCAGAAAGAGTAAAATACTTAGGAATAAACTTACCAAGAGAAGTGCAGAACTTCTGAATACTAAACAACTTTGATGAAAGAAATTAAACAAGATCTAAATAATTGGAAAAGCATCCCATATTCATGGATCAGAAAACTTATTATTGAGAGAAGATAACCCCAGAAGGGTGAGGTCTAGAAGAACAGAGGTCTTCTCAAGAAGACCCCAAGTGTACACCTGTGGGTCCTCCCCATGATGATTCAACTCTTAAGAATTTGTAGAAGCTTAACTTCCTGGTACCTGGAAATTTCCACTTCTGTGAAATTCTGTAGTTCTGTGGGGACTAGAACAGCTTCTCCTCCTTGATTCAAACTGACCAATGAGAAAGGTACCCAGGGGCTGGAACTTTTTGACTCAGGATAGAAAGGGAAAGACCAAACTAGTTGGAGAGTGCAGCCATTTTGAGATTTTTAGATTTGCTGTAGCTCCATCTGCTGAATAAAAGCCCTTTTCCTCTTAAATATGGTGTTTGGGTGTTTGTTCTCTCCATTGGGCCTTGTCTTCCTGCAACATTATAAGGATGCAAATAATCCCCAAGTTGTCTACAGACTCAATAAAATTCCTATCAAAATGCCAGCTAGTAACTTTGTATAAATTGGCTTATTCTAAATCTTTTTTTTTTTTGAGACAGTCTTACTCTGTCACCTTGGGTAGAGTGCAGTAGCCTCATAGGTCACTGCAACCTCAAACTCCTGGGCCTAATAGATTCTCCTCCTCAACTTTTCCAGAGTAGTCCTAAGCTTATTCTAAAATTCACATGGAAATTCAAGAAGCCAAGAATAGCCAAAACAATCTTGAAAAGAAGAACAAAGTTGGAGACTCATGCTTCCCAGTTTCAAAACTTACTACAAAGTGCTCTTTAGTGGGCAGGTCTGTGTAAACCTGCTCTCAAAGTCCAAGCAAAGATCATAGAAAGAAACTGACAAGTTCAGTTTCTCCAAAAGAATCAGTTAATAGAAACTTACAGACAGAAGTCATATCTGAGGCAGTTGTACCACAAGATGGTAAATAACTGTATTATCTACCCTCCAACCCCAGGATTAAATACTGTAGGAAGGGAATAAGTAAGGCAATTGAAGCTGACCCCTCAGGGTAAGGCAAGAATTTGCCTAAGGGCAGGAGTTATGGTAAGTTTTACTCCTGAAGGTGGGATTTACATGTGAGAAGTAGAAATCATAGAGGCATTCCTGGAACTAGGGCAAATCAGAAGTCAATATGGTATATTAGCATCTAAGATGGAGTTGTTTTGTCCTCCTTATTCTACCCAATAATCTTGCCCCTACGATATCATGTACTTCTCTTTCATGATAGTTCTTGAACTTTTAGAAGGGGGGCTGTGGGTAACAATTACATCAAT